TGTTGAAACACGGGTTTATCGTGTTTTCGTACTAAAGCCGTGTTCGTTTTTATGACAGGTTTTGATAATGCCAAACCGCCGTGAACGAGACAAGTTATTGAATATACAAGGCGAGAAATAAATATAAGAAGAAAGCAAGAGAACAAGACCCAAAAGAAGACCAAGAACGAAGACCGTTGTCTTAGTGTTGTTGAGTCGGTCATAATTGTGATCAAGACCGACCCAACCTTTACACCTTGGCTCTTTAGGCTAAAATTCTTTTCATTGGATTTCACACATCATAAAAATGTTTTTCAAACATGTTTAAAACATTAAAAACACTTGGTGTTCGCCCAAACCAAAAATCAAGCCATCCGGCGTTCGGGTTTCAGAAACCGGCGTTCGGCATTTGGTTTTCGGCGTTGGTTTTTGGCGTCCGAACTAACCAAGTGGTTTTCAACTTTTTATGACTGGTTTTTACTTCTGGGCACATTTAAATAGTTTTTCATCAAAAACACTTCAAAAACCACCTTTCGTTTTTTGTCGTTTGATAAAAACCATGCGAAACGGCATAAACTTGGCTAGCCGTGGTTTTTACTTAAATGAAGTGGTTTTCAAGTCTTTTTGTGTGGGAATTGTTTTTGGATGCATTTAAATGGTTCTCCAATCAAAACATCATGAAAACCACCTTTCAGTTTTGTCTTTTGGTGAAAACCACCCGTGTACGGTGTTGACTTGGTCAACCGTGATTTTTACCTTAATGACGTGGTTTTCAACTTACAAAGCTTGTTTTGACATCAAAATACATTAAATAAGTGTTTTATATACTTAGTTTTTACTTTGGAGAACTTTGCATTTTTCGGTCGTGTTTCAGCGCCGGTTAGCTAGGCCATGGTTCTGGGCTAGCCATCTACCCAGCGATGGTAGATTTCACCCATGCATGGGTAAGTGATCCCGGGATTCCAGAATCATGCCACCCAGCGATGGGAAGATCTTCCCATCGATGGGTAAGCAGTCCCTTAGCCAAACCAATTTCCAGAACCATGCCAAACAGCGACGGGAAGTTCTACCCATCGATGTTAAAGCCTTGGTGCAACATTACCACAAGGCAAAATGCCCTTACCCAGCGGGGAAGCTTTACCCATCGATGGGAACCCAGCGATGGGAAGGCTTAACCATCGATGGGAAGGCATGACCGTTAGGAGTCATTTAAGGCTGATTCTTTCCTTATTTGAAAGTCAACCTCCCACCCAGCGATGGGAAGCATTTACCCATCGATGGGTAGGTAACCGTTGGCTTCAAAACTGAAGGAAAATTGGCTTACCAGCGATGGGTAAGTCCTAAAGATCAATGGGAAGCCAAGATTCTGCAGATCCCAAATCTTTTCAATCCCATAAATCAAGCCAATCACCCCTTTAATGCATTGGTCCGTTGGAGCCTATTTTGGCACTATAAAAAGGGGTGTTTGGGTCTGCTTTTCTTACCAATTCACTTCACAATATTCATATTATCGTTGCATCCAAATCACATTGTTTTCCATAGCTTTCTAGAGCCAATTTGTGTGAAGTTTGAGTTGTTCTTGAGCGTATATATTTTACTCATATCCACTCTTAAGGAGAGTCTTGTTCTTGAGTGTCTTAGTGTTGTATACACGTTAAGGGAAGCTTGTTTCCCTTGGTTGTACGAAGGAAAGGTATTTTCCTTCGGGTTGAAGTCTTGGAGTGCGGTATCTCCGAGCAAGGTTGTTGAGGCT